TGATTCTGATACATGAAATAGAGTGCTGAATCATATCAACTCATGCCGAAATGATTTAAAAAAAAAAAAAAACTGACAGTATTATACATCTGTAAAATCCCATCGTTCTTTTAGGAAAGCCGTATATAACTGAAATTAGAACTATTTAACTAATGCTAAACAACTGCTAGGTTACATCCAAACATATATTAAAAGCAAAATGTTCCATCCCCACCAAAACTGAAACCAGCACTTTACAAAGAAGCAGCATGTAAGTAGGTCGCATTGAACTGCCTGTGGGATCCACAATTCCTTTCTCAAAAGGATCACCCATTAACTTTATCTGTGGACTCTGCATGAATTTATGGAAAGGGTTAAATAGAATTATTATAGCCCATTGTAATCTGGCAATTGGCGTTAATCTATAAAATCGGGTTAATGTCAATATTTGTATAATTAACTAATTTTTAACATTAAATAAATTGCGGTAAACTAAGGTTGCCTTTATCTATGTCCATCATATGGTTTGATCAAGCCTGTAATAGTAAGACTGGTGAAGGATAGTCTGACATTTCCAGATAAACTCGCTCGTGAAAACTGAGTTAAGTCGGATTTGATTCTACATCTATCTATCAGAGTAGCATACTGATGCTTTTATTGCCTTTGCCGTCTGGCTTTTGTCTTTAATATTAATGAAAACTATTGCAATTTTTATAAGACTAAATACATATTAAAACATTTTAACGCAAAAAAAATGATTGGCGCCCAGTTAACGGAAAAATACCTAAAAATGAGGTATCATCATATCAAATTCTTTATTATTATTTTAAAATACTGAACACACTTAATTCAGATGATAAAAAATATAGTATAGATAAATTTCTTGTATAGAAATTATATGTTTTACATGTATCATTCAAAGTGCCTCTATGTGCTCATCTTTTGTTAACTGGCAAACATTCAAGCAAAAGTCAATTTCCTGCCACACAAGTTGAAGCATGTCCGACGTGATGGTCTCAAAAGCTTGGGTTATGTGATCTCGGAGACCTGGAAGGGATTATGAAAGTCGGGATACATAAACTGTGTCTTTCACACACCCTCATACAAAAAAGTCACACAGGGTTACATCTGGGGACTGAGATGGCCACTAGAGGAGGAGGTTGTCTGCATCTGAACGTGTCTGATTCAGTGCTGTGGACGAACCTGATTGAGGAGAATTTTCACATCACGATGAAAATGGAGTGGAGCTCTATTCTTAAAGTACAAAATTTTAAACAAATTTTGTACTTTGAAGAATTTAAATACATACATATATGTATAAATTAATAGGTACTGATTGTTGTAAAACTAGATTATAAACTTAATCTTAAATAAAATATAGATATGAAATCATCATCTAATTGTGGAAACAGCCTGCTTTCCAACATGTTTTGGTAAGAGTCACCACTCTTGTTGCGAAGAACAATGATTCTGATACTTGAAATAGAGTGCTGAATCATATCAACTCATGCCGAAATGATTTTTCAAAAAAAAAAAAAANGGGAGGGGAGTGGGAAGTACAGAAGGTGCCTGACTGATACTGTACACACAAGTCACAACCTATCGATGTAACAGACTGAAGAGGGGCGAGAGCCCGAAACGCGTATCTGTATGAATTAAAAGTGGATGATGAAATTAATTGCCAAGTGTCGATAAATGAACCAAGTTGTGACATAGAATTAGAAGAAACAAGGTTTCAATTTTATTTTTTTTGAATCGGTTTTCTGAAATCCTCATACAAGTAATCTTGCATACAAAAATCACAAACTTTGACAACTGGATGGTCAAACAGTCTACCACTCAGAGAGACTTCAGATCTTCCTTAAATCCCAGGACTTTAACGTGTAGTCCATCCAGATATATTGGGCCTTGTCCTTCATTACCTGCTGAAGGTCTGGCAGAGTTAAGAAAAGGTAAAATAAATAAACAAATAAAGAATAAATTCACAAATTTTGAGCATTAAAAAATAAATAAAAAATATGTTTAACTTTTGTTAGAATTTAGTTTCGAAGATTTTTCCGATTTGAAGGCAACTTATTCTTTTCAAAGTCTTATCTATTAGACTTATTGTACAAATATAATTATTTCTATATATATATTGCCTTATCACTTTGTTGATAAGGCAATATATATAGAAGTAGTTTGTAGCTATTGTATTTTGGGAATGTCAACTAAAATTTCTATATATTTAATGAATTATATGGAATGCGTGCTGAAATGCATTTGTTAGTTAATCTAAAAACATTAAAGTAAAAATCCATCAATGAGTTGTATAACTTTCTCAACAGAAAAGTTAAAATTATGTATGACACCATCTGTTATAAGATTTTATTAAAAAGTTTTTAATATTATTAATTAATATAAAATGGCAAGAAGTTTAATTTTGTGGGTAGAGATGACTTTTATACTGTAAAAAAAAATTGTAAGTGTTAATGAGTAAAATCTTCATTAGGTCTGACCCCACTTAAGATAAGTGACTCCCCTCTATCACCCCACCTCTTGACCTCTAATCGCTAAAATTTAACAGCATCAATGCTACTAATACACAAATCTTCCTACAGAATTTCAGAAATTTTTGACAAAAGGCACAGGAATTATTAAGCTTTAAATTGAGTGAACAAAATCATGCTCCTCACACATAATAACATTCATACATGCAAAAAAATTTGAGAAATTTCTGTATTTCTTGATGTTTCAATGTGCTCTGAATTCAAAAATGTAAAAATCTTTTGGAGGGGTCGTATTTTTACCAAGTCTCATACTTTCCCTCTGTTGTATATAACAACCAGGAAAGTAAAAACTTAATTTAACTTTATAACAAATTTTCTAAAACAATCTTTTCCCAACCTTTTGAGTTGTTTTCAGTAATTCTTCTTAAAGCTTTCTTTGATTATGTAAATGTATTGTTTATATGCAACAGTTTCAATTCAGTGAAGCTCAAGGTTTCACCACAACTAACCTCTTATGAAATTCGTAATTTATGTTTAATGTTACAAAATAATAGTAATATATTAATTAAAAACATCAAATTTATTTTAATTAAAAATTTAATTTTCATTATTTTATTTTTTAAGTTATCTGCAGATCGATATCTTTTCTGTGGACAAAAGACTGATATTATACTTTAAGAAATGTTGTGCTGAAGTGTTATAAAAGAAACTTAAATGGTTTTTCTGGAAACAGTAATAATTAAAACAGAATTTGTTTTTCGATTTATATCACTTAACATAGCATTTTTAATGAAGAATTAACATTATTATATTATTATCCATATTATAATAATGGTGATATATTATATTATATAATAATAATAATAAACCAAAACAAACACTGATACNAAATGCATTTGTTAGTTAATCTAAAAACATTAAAGTAAAAATCCATCAATGAGTTGTATAACTTTCTCAACAGAAAAGTTAAAATTATGTATGACACCATCTGTTATAAGATTTTATTAAAAAGTTTTTAATATTATTAATTAATATAAAATGGCAAGAAGTTTAATTTTGTGGGTAGAGATGACTTTTATACTGTAAAAAAAAATTGTAAGTGTTAATGAGTAAAATCTTCATTAGGTCTGACCCCACTTAAGATAAGTGACTCCCCTCTATCACCCCACCTCTTGACCTCTAATCGCTAAAATTTAACAGCATCAATGCTACTAATACACAAATCTTCCTACAGAATTTCAGAAATTTTTGACAAAAGGCACAGGAATTATTAAGCTTTAAATTGAGTGAACAAAATCATGCTCCTCACACATAATAACATTCATACATGCAAAAAAATTTGAGAAATTTCTGTATTTCTTGATGTTTCAATGTGCTCTGAATTCAAAAATGTAAAAATCTTTTGGAGGGGTCGTATTTTTACCAAGTCTCATACTTTCCCTCTGTTGTATATAACAACCAGGAAAGTAAAAACTTAATTTAACTTTATAACAAATTTTCTAAAACAATCTTTTCCCAACCTTTTGAGTTGTTTTCAGTAATTCTTCTTAAAGCTTTCTTTGATTATGTAAATGTATTGTTTATATGCAACAGTTTCAATTCAGTGAAGCTCAAGGTTTCACCACAACTAACCTCTTATGAAATTCGTAATTTATGTTTAATGTTACAAAATAATAGTAATATATTAATTAAAAACATCAAATTTATTTTAATTAAAAATTTAATTTTCATTATTTTATTTTTTAAGTTATCTGCAGATCGATATCTTTTCTGTGGACAAAAGACTGATATTATACTTTAAGAAATGTTGTGCTGAAGTGTTATAAAAGAAACTTAAATGGTTTTTCTGGAAACAGTAATAATTAAAACAGAATTTGTTTTTCGATTTATATCACTTAACATAGCATTTTTAATGAAGAATTAACATTATTATATTATTATCCATATTATAATAATGGTGATATATTATATTATATAATAATAATAATAAACCAAAACAAACACTGATACACAGCACAGTGGCACACCAACAGAAGAAGAACTCATTGGTCTTCTCTTTGGTCCAATGCTGTTACACACACTGCTGATGCAGGCCGGATCGAGGAGGAGAACAGAAACTTGCATAACATACCAACTATGTCCTGTGCTGAAATAAATGTACACATCTGCTATGCTGTTAACAGAACACACAACTGGAAGACACCTGATGTAGACAACATTTACAATTTCTGGTATAAAAAGTTCACATCACTGCACCAGGAACTAGCTAAACCAGTGGTTCCTAACCGGTGTTCCGCAAGCATCTCCCAAGTGTTCCGCAGATTTAGTCGGAAATTGGGAAGTGTACAATCGTATTCGACTTCAAGTAAACTTCACAATACATGTTTCGCTCTTCAAATTGACGAATCACAGATACTAATGGAAAAGCCATTTTACTTGGATACATTCGATTTGTTAAAGAAAATAGAATAGTCAATGAATTTTTGTGTTGCAGAGAGTTACTAGAAGGAACGAATGAAGAAGCCGTTTATAATGCTATCAATTGAATGTTCGAATTTGAACTGGGATCAATGCGTGGAAATCTGCACTGATGGAGCTCCATCAATGACAGAATCAGTCAAGGGATTTGTGACATTTGCAAAGCAACGAAACAGTGAGATTTATATAAATCACTGCTTCTTACTTAGAAAATTGCTTATTGCAAAAAGATTACCTGCAGAATTAAAAGATGTTCTTACTAGCGTTGTTAATATGGCAAATTACATAAAGGCGAGACCATTGAAATCCCGAATTTTTAAACAACTGTGTGCAACGATGGAAGCAAAATATGAAGGGTTAATTTTTCATACAGAAATCAGGTGACTTTCTCGAGGAAAAATACTTTTTCCTGTACTGGAACTGAAAAAAGAATTGATAGTTTTCTTCGAACAAGAAAATATGTGCTTTTTCAGAAAATCTTAAAAATGATATGTGGTGTGCCAAAGTTGGATATTTAATGGACATATTTAATTATTTAAACATTGTGAATACTACCATGCAAAGTGTACAGGAAAACATCTTAACATCAATGGACAAACTATCAGCTTTCCACAAGAAGATTATTCTTTGGTAAAAAAGAGAAGAAAATTATCTCAGTATGTTTCCTTCCATACATAATAATACCGATATTGTTTCCTTGATATCAGAACATTTAGCAATATTAGAAAACAACGTAAGAAAATATTTTCCTTCTCTTGACACGGACAAATATTACTAGATTAGGAATCCATTTATTTCAAAAGAATTATATAATAATTCTGAATTTAATGTCTCAGAGGAAGAGGGGCTTATATCTTTGTCATCCGACTGCTCCTTGAAAATCAAACACGCTGAAACTAATCTTGATGAATTCTGGATATCCGTCCAACAAGAATATCCACGAATATAAAATAAGAAGCCATAAAAATTTTACTATTTTTTTCAACTTCATATTTATGTGAACTTGGGTTTTCCACATTAACCAATACAAAATATATAAAAAAAAAAAGGAAAGACTTACAAATTTAGAGGAAGAAATAAGAGTGGCATTGTCTTGTATATGTCCCAACATAGAAGAAATATGTAAAAAACATCAGGCACAAGTTTCCCATTAAAGTTATTTAGGTATATTTTTTCTGTCCTAAAATTGGCGTTAATAATACAAGTAGAGATTTTCTATTATGACTGCTCAATTCTAATAAAATGACAAGCTTATGTATTTCATATTAACTTAAGTAAGTGTTCCGCTAAAGAAAATTGCTCACAAAAATGTTCTGCATCCTAGAAAAGGTTGGGAACCACTGAGCTAAACATCTAATACACATCATCATCAATCCACAAGACATGCCAAAATTTCTTACTCATGGCATCACCTACATGAAACCTAAAAACAACAACACCATAGACCCCACACAATACAGACCAATTACATGTCTTCCAACACTACAAATTATTGACATCCTGTATCACAAACAAAATATACAAAAACGTTGAAGAACATGACATTCTTACAGAACAACAAAAAGGTTGCCGTAGAAGTCACAGGGGATGCAAAGAACAGTTACTCCTAGATTCAGTCATTCTANTTATTTCAAAAGAATTATATAATAATTCTGAATTTAATGACTCAGAGGAAGAGGGGCTTATATCTTTGTCATCCGACTGCTCCTTGAAAATCAAACACGCTGAAACTAATCTTGATGAATTCTGGATATCCGTCCAACAAGAATATCCACGAATATAAAATAAGAAGCCATAAAAATTTTACTATTTTTTTCAACTTCATATTTATGTGAACTTGGGTTTTCCACATTAACCAATACAAAATATATAAAAAAAAAAAGGAAAGACTTACAAATTTAGAGGAAGAAATAAGAGTGGCATTGTCTTGTATATGTCCCAACATAGAAGAAATATGTAAAAAACATCAGGCACAAGTTTCCCATTAAAGTTATTTAGGTATATTTTTTCTGTCCTAAAATTGGCGTTAATAATACAAGTAGAGATTTTCTATTATGACTGCTCAATTCTAATAAAATGACAAGCTTATGTATTTCATATTAACTTAAGTAAGTGTTCCGCTAAAGAAAATTGCTCACAAAAATGTTCTGCATCCTAGAAAAGGTTGGGAACCACTGAGCTAAACATCTAATACACATCATCATCAATCCACAAGACATGCCAAAATTTCTTACTCATGGCATCACCTACATGAAACCTAAAAACAACAACACCATAGACCCCACACAATACAGACCAATTACATGTCTTCCAACACTACAAATTATTGACATCCTGTATCACAAACAAAATATACAAAAACGTTGAAGAACATGACATTCTTACAGAACAACAAAAAGGTTGCCGTAGAAGTCACAGGGGATGCAAAGAACAGTTACTCCTAGATTCAGTCATTCTATGACAAGCACACAAACAGCACAGAAACATACACATGGCATATATAGACTACAGAAACGCATTCAACAGCATTCCACACAGTTGGCTGCTATATATCCTATACATGTACAAAATACATCCATCACTCATTGCATTCTTCCAAAACACTATGCAGCACTGGAGAACAACACTACATCTCAGAGTTAGTAACACTTCCATACAAACAAATGAGATATTCATTAGGCAAGGAATTTTTCAAGGAGATTCCTCGAGTCCTCTCTGGTTCTGCCTAGCCCTGAACCCATTATCCAACATGTTAAACAACATACAATATCAGACATGAAAAAAACAACACAGTTTACGCTGTCACATCTCATGTCATGTACATGGATGACATAAAACTTTATGCATCCACACAGAAACGACTTCATCAACTCCTACAAATCACACATTCATACACCAAGGACATACAAATGGAGTTTGGCTTAGACAAATGCAAAAAACTTCACATAGAAAAAGGAATCCTGAAAAAAGATTTTGCACTTGGAAATGGAGACGTTATTGAATGCGAGTTCTACAAGTATTTAGGATTCCAACAGGCCAAACTAACAGAACATACACAAATAAAGCAACGATTAATTAAAGAATACCAAAGTAGGTTAAATGCTATCCTCAGAACACAGTTAAATGCAAAACACACATATGCCATCCCAGTACTCACTTACTCTTTTGGAGTTATACATTGGACTCACACAGATCTCGAGCAACTCCAAAGGAAAACAAGAACAACACTTACTAAGCATAAACAACATCACTTTAAATCCGCCACAGAAAGATTAACCCTTCCACATAAAGATGGCGGACTTGGCCTGATTGACATAGTTAACCTTCACTACAAACAAATACAGTCACTGCGAGAATTTTTCTACAGGAAACAAGAAACATCACAGTTACTCTATAAAGCAGTAACTCTAGCAGACTCAAATAACACATCATTAAACTTACACTTACACAAATAAAACAATTTACCACAACAGACCAGACATCACACTCATTGACAAACACAATAAAATCACATACATTATAGACATATCCATTCCAAACACTCACAATGTACGAAACACATTCACTGAAAAAATTAGCAAGTACACAGAAAACGCCCAGGAAATAAGGCATCTGTGGAGGATGGAAAGAGTGCTTATTGTACCTGTCGTTATCTTTTGTACAGGTGTGATACCACACACACTACACAAAAGCCTGGGAACATTACAATTGAATAGAAGAAACACATATATCACACTACAGAAGGCTACTATATTGAATACATGTTATATTGTTAGGAAATTTCTGTGTACAAACACACACACTGATACACTTACTTAATTTTTGTCTTGTTTTGGTTATTATGCCTTGAATGTGGTCCAGCAGAGCACACAGCCACTGGGTCAACCAATTATAACTCACTAAACCCAATAAAAAATAATAATAATAATTTTTAACGAAGAATTTTATGTTTAAGCAGCTTAAATTTTACTTTAGTTTATATTTTTATGATCGTATGTATTTATTTATATTCATTCTTATTAATTATTAACAAATTAAGATTAACAGATAATTATTAAAATAAACAAATTATACAAATATTATCTTATTACATAATTTTTGATCAATTTATTTATTTATCATTTTTATAAGATCAATATTATTAAATATATTTTGTAATATTTGCATGTATATTATATTAGATACATTTGCTTTTGATAAATATGTATAAGAAATATGTATGAGGCACATTCAGAATTGATTGAGACTCTGTTCAGTTATGAACATTGGGTAAACTTTTTTGAGCAGTTTACACTTCTGCCTGTTTAATGTAGTCTTCAGCAACATCAATAATACATCTTTGGCATTTCTCAAGTTATTTTTCTATTGTCTTAGCAAACCAACCTTTTGAGGTAGTACATGCACATTGACAGACAACTGTCTTGACAGATTCATCATCTGTGAACTCCTGTACATGCAGAGAGCATTTCATCTTATAAAAAATGCATAGTCTGATTGTGCCAAATCAGGAAAATATAGGGGGTAAAGTAACACAGTGAAGCTCAAGATTACCGGTTTTTGAGTTGTGGCTCTGCTTTTGCGAGGCCAAAGGAGAACATTTTGTGTCATCTTGCTTATATTTATGAATTTTTTGACGAAGCCACTGCAAAAGATTTCAGTATGAAGTGTTATTCACTGTTTAATCTTGGGAGTCAATCCAGCAGGATTATTAATCTGAATATCAATAGAGAGTGCTCATTTGCTTGCCTAATGAGAGAGAGAGGCATTTGAACTTCCTTGGACACAGGCTACCATTATGTTTCCAGTACATCGATTGATTTTTTTCTAAAGGTAGATACATTATTTTTTCAAATTCTTATCAATTTCTCAAAGAAATCATCAGGATTCTGATTGTTTATGTTCAGCAATCAATGACACATTCCAGTATTTTTTTTTTTAAATCCAATTTTAAGTCATGGGAAACCCAATGTGCATACACTTTCTTCATTTTCAGATCTTCCCTAATGATATCTTGATTTTGTGCAAGTAGGTATGTTTTAAATTGCAGAAAATCTATTGTGATTTGTCTGTTAGTTGTAATTTTGAGAGATCAGTTGTACCACAGCTATAGTCTAACTTGTTCATCGGTGTCTCGGAGTGATTCTTTTAACGACAGATTTATTTTTATTTTCGAATCCTTCAACATATATGTAGAATTTCATGCCACAGACATGTTGCAATTGATGATAGATATCAGTTGAATATGTCCCTTCTTTGAACAAAACCAAGCAGCTCAACTTTTCCATGACAGTTTCTATCCATTCTGTTTGCCTGATGCTACAACTATGTTAACAAATGTGTTCTGTGCATTGTGATGTGGCAATCTGGGAAACTATTGCACAAACACGTAGGTTCAGGAATGTGTGGAATATCATGTGACATTTTTTTTATTTTTTGTAATGCTTTTGATAACTCTCAATCATTTCCAAAATTACACACATATTACACTGAATTTTGATGTATACATATGTGTATAGATCTGCAGAAAATATTAGAAAAACATTGTGTATGTAATACAAAAATAGTAATGTGTTTTTATTGTTTTTAGGAGAAACTACTTAAAGACAGTGATGATGATGATGACTTTTATCTGAGGTAATAAATTTTATGTAAATAATAATATAATTCAAGTAATGAATGAATACAACTCCAATTTTTTAAATTATATGCTCAAACTTTATTTTATTGAAGCTCATTAATTTAAGCGAAAGTATAACACATTACATATTTAAGTTGGTGAGCTCCAAAAAAGCAGAGTTTGAGTTAATAATAATATAATCAGTAGCATAATTAGGGAGGGATCCAGAGATTCCCAGACATCCTTTACCTTTGTAAATAAATTTTAAAAGACCAAATAAGTAGAGGAAAAAAATTTGAATGTAACAAATGCGCTTATGTACATATATGAGTTTATTCTTCGTCCACGGTTCTAACGGCTACATCCGCAGTGGTGCGAAGGTGAATGTAGGTTTGCACTAGTGATGCCACGAATATTCGGCTACTATTCGGTATTCGGCCTATTCGGCTACATTTTTTAATATTCGGTATTCGGCCGAATGTTGCATACTATTCGGCCGAATACCGAATACCAAATCATGGAAAAAAACGCACATATTACTCAAAAATGTATTTATTTTAATCACAAATTATTACATTTAATACTTAAAATCTATCAGTGGTAAGTTGTAATGAATGAAAACAATTTTTTCAGCATTTGTTGATAGCAAACGATTGCGCTTTTCCTCATAAACTATACCTGCTTCTGAAAATAGCCTCTCACTATATACACTACTGCCGGGAGACGATAGATAAATCTTAGCAAATTCTGTCAGGCTTGGGTACTGTTTTGCGTTTGCTGACCACCACTTGTAAAGGTCTGCCGTCCGATCTAGGCGAACAGTTTTCATATAAAAATCAATCTCATTTGCAATAGCACTTTTCTCCTCCACATCCTCATCATTTTGCATATTTTCTGTAGCGACTTCGTCAAAACAGTTCCAGAAACTGTCGTGTATTTCAATGGTTTTATCATTTTCATTGATATTTCTTTTCTTACGAAATGGAGAAGAATCATCATCCGTACTAGTAGACTCGTCATGACTAATTTTCAGAGCTTCTAAAAGAATTTTTTGTTTTGCTCTTTGCGTTTGAACTAATCCCAGGAAACTGGTTTTGAAACGCGGGTCAAGAAAAGTGGCAACCAGATATTTGTCATTCTCATCAAAGTTGAACCGTGTTTCAAGCTCAACTTGTAGTGAAGATCTCATTCTCAATAAATTTGGTGTTCTATCTGCAGTCTCTTCCTTTCCCAGGTATTTCAACAATGTGACAACATGTGGAATCACTTCAGAGATGCAGGAAATACCTGAGCTGGTTATTTTCGTAATCTCTTCAAACGGTTTGAGAAGTTTGATACATTGTTCCATTAGCTCCCACTGAGAAGGTGTTAAATTGTTTAAAGACTCGTGATCAGTTATGTACAAAGAAACAGCTCGCTTTTGTTCTAATAATCGCTCCATTAAATAATATGTAGAATTCCAGCGTGTGCTTACATCCTGTACTAGTTGGTGGTTTGGCAAGTTAAGTTCTTGGCGAATGCATTTCAGCTTTTCTTGTGCTATACCAGAGTGGTTAAAATGGGTAACAATTCGTCTCGCAGCAACTACCATCTGTGTTATTTCCGTTTGAGACTTTAGCGATTCCTTGACAGCTCGTTGCAGTGAATGAATAAAACAATTGGCAGAATCATATTCTGCGTCTCGTACACCTTTTATCATATTGGCTCCACTGTCATGGACAAGTAAATGGATCTTGCTATGAGGAATATTCCATCTTTCTGCAATAGCATTGAGTTCTTTTGCGATATTGGTACCAGTATGTGAGCCAGAAAATGGCTTCATTGCTAAAACACCATGTTCAAGAATAAACTCTGGAGATATCCAATGCGCAGTGAAACTCAAGAAACTCTGGTTATTGTGCTGACATGTCCACATATCAGATGTCACTGATACTGCTGTTGCTCGTGAAATACTAGATTCAATTTTATAGCAAATTCTATTATATATATCAGGAATAATTTTCTCGGTCATGTAAGTGCGACCAGGTATATTGTATTGAGGTACTGCCTTTTCCATAAGCCTTTTAAAGCCGACTCGTTCAACAAGTGATAATGGTTCGTTGTCTAAGGCAATCATTTCACCGATTAAATAATGATATTTTATTGATTTCAGATCATTAATATCCCATAACAATTTCCTTTCAGTTGTTTCCTTCAGAGTTAACTGTTTCTTTTCTGATGTACCTGGTACTACCAGTATCTTGGAATCGGTAGAAGTAAGAGTACCATCATTTTTGCTGCCACTTGCTGAGGGAACAACAGTTAACATAGCGTACTGCTCGGCATGTTTGCTTTTAAGGTGGTTTTTCAAAGAAGTTGTAGCTGTAAACATAAAAAAACGAACACAATAATTAAGAAATGAAAAATCTGACATCAAAGAAGGAAATTCCCAAACACTACTAGCTTAAACTTGTATTATTCTGGCATCACTTAAGCCTCTGAATTTCAAAGATAATAAATAAAATGTAGACTATATTTAAAAGTAGGACTTATTTATATCAAGTTTATCAACGAAATACCACGTGTGAAATAAAGTACCAGGCAAAAAAAACAAGAAATAAAAAATTACAAGCGCTAAATACTAAATATGACAAATTGTTTCACTTAATTAATACGTAATAAGATTTTACTTACTTGCTTTCTTTCCTTCTCCACCACGCGAGATCTTGTTGTTACACAGCAAACACACAGCAAGTTTATTATCTTCACTACAAATCTCATAATATTTCCAAATAGGTGATTTTTTATTAAATAGTGCCATTTTGTAAAGCTTTTGGCGAACAAACAGTGATATTTTTTAGTAATAAAAACTATTATTAACACAATTTGACGTAACAATGAGCAAATGACGCGTGTCGTGACACGATCTACTCACAAATGAAACAAACCCTCTCTCACAATTTCTCTCTCTCTAGGTGGGACAATCTCACCCCACATTCTTAGGGATACGATTACATCACCCACCTGACATATGTGACAGAGCTGTGGACTGTCCATCAACACTTGATAACATCCACACACCTGACACATGTTACAATTGAACTTAACAACATATTTTGCCAAACATTCGGCCGCCGAATATTCGGCGCTTCGGTCGAGAGCGTAGCCGAATATTCGGTATTCGGTATTCTGCAAAATCACTATTCGTGGCATCACTAGTTTGCACATTCAAGTCCCTCCTAATGTTAGCTCAGCTACTGAATATAACATGTAAATTATTTTATAAATATGTTGAAATTTAATTAAAATATTAAAAATTATTGATTTATATTTTTCAGAGGACCATCTACAAGTGCGAAATCTTTAAAAGTAGCTAATGATAAAGATATAAGGAGGTGAGGTTTGACATTTAAATACACTATAGAATTACTATTATTATTGTATTAATTTACTTTTTCATAAATAATTTATTTAAACAAAAGTTATAATATTTATATAAAAACTAAGAAGCACAAATAAACCTTTAAAAAATTAATGAATAGGAATTAAATTTTAAATTAATAATTTGAATCTATATTTATTAGTGTTGCAACGAATAGTATATTCGGCCTCAGGCCAAATACCGAATATTTGGCCAGGAGCGTGGCCGAATAGCCGAATATTCGGCCAAACTATTCGGCTTGATGAACGCATGTATGAAAATTGATGCGCAAACCGCATTATGGAGAGGACCCTGCTCTCTATTGGCCTGCTGTCACTATGCTTCGCCAATCGCGTTAATTCTTGACAGTTGTAATGGACAGACACGAGCGTCATGGCAATATGTGATAAATGATATCATCAAATGTAGATAACAATGAAATGATTTACACGTGTAAATAATGAAAAAAGAACAGAGAAGGACCGCAAAGTGAAAATGTGAAAATAAATACGAAATTGAGTTGATAACATAATTGAACAAGTGGAGGCAGCTTATTGGCGCGAAATTTGCGGCCATCAATACCAAGCAATTGTTGTCATAGACTTCGGAAAGCTAAATGCTTGTAATGAAAGTCACTTAGCGTGCACGGGCGAAAGCCTGGGGCTGTTCGGGCTACTGAGCTGTCTCGAATTTGTGAAATCATAACTGTGACTTATTCCAATGTCCTATGTGTCTCTTTTCTCCGTCATCATTAGGCTACGAGTCACATAATTGTAAAATTGGAAATCTACGACGGAAAAGTGACGAATCAAAAGTATCGTGAGCGCGTATTACGATGTATGCTTAGGCATCTGTGAACTAGAGCGATAGAGGAAAGAGAAGAGCAAAGATGAGCGCTTAAAAAGAAGAATAGGCAGGGTCAGACCCTCAGATGTGCGACGATTCTCGAACGAATAGGTGTGTACGTGTGCTGATCTTTGTAATTATACATTGTGAATACATGTGACTAATATTATTTTCTTTTTTATTTTGTGCATGTTATAAGTTATAAATAAATATAAACAAACAATACTAACCCGATAACAATAAATCTAAATACCAAAATGATTAATTTACTGTGTTTTTGTTATTTATTACTCCTGCTTTCAGGTATTTGGTATTAGGCCGAATAGTAACCGAATATTCATTACATCACTAATATTTATGTTTTGATGTATTTTTATTTTATGTGTAATATATTCTAAGATTTTTATGCTTTATCTATATTTATTATTGTTTGATATAAACTATATATAGACTAGTAATGATAAATAACTTTGTCCGTATTTTGTGTGTTTTATGTTACATTTTATGTAAGAAGAAACATTTAACCATATTTCAGTTTTGATATGAAAATAGAATAAAATGTTATTTTGTCATTGATTTAGGTTAATGTGACAAAAAACATATAAATATGCAAAGTACAACTTTAAATACAAATACAAAATTACATATGTTTGATACAATAGAGTCCCAAAAACTTGGCACTTGATAACCTGGCAGTCCGGATAACTCGGCCACACCCTGGCAGGGCTAAAAAATCTCCTAGTTAACTTTCAATATAGACAGCTTTATGCCTTGTAAAGTATTTTTCTGAGGTTTGTCTTATCAGGTAAATTACTGTACACTGTGTATTCATTAATTTTCATTTTCATGTAGTAATGGCTCTATGCCTTCATAAAGTATGTACTTTTCCTTTCTTTAAGGGTATTTGGGCAGTTAATTCTCTGATGTATTCTCAAGCAAACAATACATACAAGTACAGTACAGTATTTTCTGAGGAAACACTCGTACTTATTCTTTTTTAACCCCATTCCCGATAACCAGACATTTTCACAAACTCAACCACCCTTCGGTCCACATTAGGTTGCACTTTCGGGACTCTACTGTATTTACAATTAAGCTGTGCTAGTTCATATATTTTTTTTTTTTTTTTCAGTTTTATGTTATAAGAAGTTTGTGATGAACTACCTCATTTGAAGAATATTGAAAATGTGCCAGTTTGATATTCAGATATAAAATAATTTTTAAAATTTAAATCTATATATTAAAGAACAAATAATGTATAAATCTGAATTAACATAACTACAGTTTTAATTCAAATTGTAGGCATTTTAATTTGAAGTATTTTGAAATATTTCACATAAAAATTAAATTGTTTTAAAAATATATTCTGCATTTAAATAATAATTTGTGATTTGAAGTTTAACGTTTTTGAACATAATCTATCTTGATGTGTTTGTTAAATTATGTTTTTTAAGTTCTTTGCTTGAAATGTAATAACTTTCTATCTCTGAAAAAGTAAAAATTAATATTATTCATTTAAGTTTTCGCATTCATTTTACGTATATTAACTTTCAAGTTGATCATTATTGGATGATTAGTTGATCATGATTGGATGATTAAAATGTTAGAAAATGCAAAATGTTTTTTAGGTTCCTGAGAAAAAAGTTCACTTTTTAAGGCCCAAGCATTTACAATCACTAAGAATTCATGATTTATTCAAAAATTAAGATTGCCCCTGACCAGCTAAAAAGTACTTAGACTTTAAAGAATGAACCGTTTTCCTCAGATAGTTTTCCAAAAATAGTTTTTTACTGTAACTTTTAAATATAACAGATACTTGAAATAATAAAACAGCTAAAAAAAAAAAGTTGTTGCCTTAACATTAATTTAAAATTTAAAAAATTGCATGGATAAAGCTGACAAAAGAAAAATAAAACTGACATTTGAAATACTCTTTTATTGATTAATACAGAAAAATCCAAAGGAGAAATATACAATTAAAAATTCTGTATAAAAGAATAAACACACAAAAAAATTAAGAGCATCTTTATATTATGTATTTTGTCACGTATCCCGGGAATGCGACAAAGTTACATGACAGAGTTGACCTTTATTTTGAAACATACGTTTATATTACGAGATCTATCAGATGAACGAGTATATAAACCAACAAATGATTTTTTTTTTCAATTATTGGATAAATCTTTAAATTTCTGATATTAATTTATGTAGTTTTTAAGTGTAAATATTTTTAATATTTTCATTTACTGAATTTGAACATTTCAAAAATATTTCAATAATTATAATGAAGATGTGAATAAGAAAAATTCTTTCACTTTTCTAAGGCAACTTATGTTATTTGAAAGGAATATTTGAAGGAGATTTTACTGCATTTAAAAATGACATTAATTTAAGAGAGGGAAACATTTCATGAGAAATAGTCAGATATGTTAGGCTGCTATAAGGTTGAGGGTGCGAATGCCTATGGATCCACCTGAGGGTCTCGCGTAGAAGTGATGTCAGTGACACAGAAGAAAACTCACTTTTTCCTCTGGAGATTCAAGAGGTCAGACGTATATCGATTGAGATCCAACCGCTTCGACCAGACAAAGACTATAGTGCCCTATGACCATAGCCTACAAGATTTTTATCTTATAACAGCCTAACCTGTTATAAGAGTGAGAGATGATAAATTTTCAGTAATTCTTTTTCAAATACTATAGCTATCAGTGAATTTTGGGATAAAATCACATCAATAAAGACTAATTAATGAAACTTTTGATAGCTTTTTTGATTGGCTGTTAATTTCTAATGTTATACTAAGTTGGGAAAAGGTAATTTGGATAATTTAGCACTAAATGGTAAATTTAAGAAATTTTATTATTTATTCTTCTTGGATCTATTGTTTCTTGAGCTTTAAGTGTTGTAAGCAATATTGTTGAAATTGTCTGAGCTTTATTCCAAACAAAATTGGATGGGAGATGAATGATTGAGATTTCAAAATAGAAAAAATATAGAATAATAATTTTAAATGTCTGCTTTATTTTACCATTAATATAATTGGTCTTACAATGAAATAAACTAATATTTTCATGGTAATTGATCATTAGGATTTATAACGAATAATAATTGCTTTTCAAATACATTGTGGCCAAATGTTTTAAGCAGGTTTATAATAATCAGTTCTAAGATTTCAGTAGTTTACTGAGCCTATTTGTATTTTATCGTAATAATTTAGAAGAAAATATTTTGAAAATTATCATTGAATTTTTAAGTTTAATTTTATTAAAATAAATTTCAGAGTTCAATTTCAAGTGGATGAAGTCTCTAATATTATGCAAGAAAATATTGGAAAAATAGTCGATAGAGGCGAAAAACTAGAAGATTTGGAAGATAAATCGGGTATTTTCATATTTTAACGATTTATTAAATTGAATGATTTTAATGAAGTGTGTAGAATAAAATTTAGAAAAGTTCAAAACTAATGTGAAATACTATTTCTGTAATTGTTTATATTTCTTTATTTCATCTGTTGTTGATATATGTTAGTAATGTCCGTTCAATATACCACTCATTACCATTTTCTGTAGATCTTTCGACAAAAAATAAATTTACTAAATTAAAAGATTAATTACATAATTGAATAAAGCATTCTAAAAATGATTTATTGTAAATGTGGATTTTAGTGTTTTAAATAAATATTGGTTTCTATAGAAACATTGATATTGAATAGACATTTTTGCAAATGCAACAAATGATCTTATCAATGTTCGTATGTATTTGTTAATATTAAGTTATTTTTANATGTTTTAATTTAAATTTAACATATGAAGCTAAAGTTAATACTATACTATTATACATTGTTATATATTATACTATGTATAATGTATATAAGAAGAAAAATTATTTTAAAATTCTAAATATTCTAAATATATCTATAAAGTTAAAGGTTTTCAAGATAATACATTATTTTATTTTCTAGATTTATTATCAAGTAATGCAGATTATTTTAGAAATTCAGCAAGACGGATGCAACGTAAAATGTGGTGGCAGAACATGAAAGTAAGAATTACTTCATTAATAAAGAATTATTAATAAATTTAATTTTTTATTTGTCATATTGTTATTTAAAATTATTTATTACGATTATTATTGCATTAAAATTATCATACACACTTTATCTGGTTAACATTAAGATATAGAAAAAAGTGAATTTTTTACTTATAAACTTAATGAAATGTAGCATGTAATTTAACAAGAGAATTCAAGAAAACTTTATCATATATTTAACTGTATCTAGTAATCTAATGAATTAAATATAAGACAAGTAAAAAAGTCCTATTTGTTTAGGAATATTTTAAATAATTGTGGCTTCACTAAGTATTACTATATAGTGATTTGTATAGTTGTTATGATCTTTGTCGTAACAGCTATGCAAATACTTTGAAATTTTGAGTATAAATTTCTGGATGTGTGTTTGATTCTATTCAATTTNAGTGATTTGTATAGTTGTTATGATCTTTGTCGTAACAGCTATGCAAATACTTTGAAATTTTGAGTATAAATTTCTGGATGTGTTTGATTCTATTCAATTTCACTTACATTTTTAAACTTCAGTAATATTATGACAGAAAAATACAGACAAATAACTGGTGTTATTTAAAAATTTTGTTTTGCACAAATTTTATAGAAAAACATGTTTGTTTTTCTATAAAATCTGCAAAACAAAGTTGCTTTAAGATCAATAATTAATCTCAAATCATAAGTTAAAATGAATTAAACATCATGTCAGTAGTTAGCAAAGTTATACTTGATTTATATATAAAAAAAGAATATTAAATTTAAATTATTGAAATTGATTTTACGTATCCATATACGCCATATTGTTTGTTAAGATTACCAATGACGAATTTAATAAATTGCAGTCGGAATTCTGAAGGAAAAAATCTCATCTGTACTGAATGCATATAATAATTTTTATTTAATATATATTTAAATTTTGAAGTAGACATATAGAAAGAAAAATGGAATCATGAATCAAACTTAGTAAATAATGCTTCAAGAGCTTTGCAAATATTTATAACATATATGATAAGAATATTTATTGAAATATAAATACTATTACAGACATTGTATACTAAAAGATATGATGTTTTGGGAAATTCTTATACTCTCCAACTAGTGAAAATCTATAAGAATTCACCTGAACGAGAAGACTTATAAAACTAGTAATATTACATATCTCAAAATTAAATTTTTTTAATTAAAAAGTAACACTAAATTATTTTACACCGTAAAAAATTAAAGGTTAGATGTAATAAAAGGTTGTGATGTATATTTTTTGACATATTAATAATATAATTTACTCCAGGTAAGCAGTTTGAGATTTTTATGTAACATAATTTGAATATTTTTAGCTTAAATTTGCAGTTAACATAATAGAATGAATTTGAATTATAAAAAAGTTTATACAGTAGAACCCTGATTATTGTCATGATTAACTGAAATTCTCCATTATCCAGGAGAACATGTAAGTGAATAGACTACTTTTCTTATACTGTAATTTATAAAAAAAAAAAAACACTTACCAAAACAATTTGTTTCTGTTATCTTTTATTATTTAACTTTAATGTGAGATAAAGCATTCATATTGAAATGTAACTACAATAGTACACATTTTATTGAAACTGTTGTACATACAGTATGTATTAGATGTATAATGAATGGTGTAAAAATTGTTTTTGTTATAAAGGATTTTCACTAAAATATAAAAGAAGCTATCATGCAAATTTTATATTTATAATTTTTATCCTGAAATGGCCATGGCTGTCTGTGTTCTCTGAGTTTTCAGTTATCAGAGATAGCATCGGTCCACATTATCTCAGATAATTGGGGTTTTACTATATTAAATATCCAGCTTCCTATTTTGTGTAAGATAACAATATGTAAAGAATACAGTGAATGATTGTATTTTATTTACCGAAATGCAAAGTGTTGTTAGACTTGCAGTAATCAGTTTTAGTCTTTTTGTACATTTGATCCATTTCCTCTGAGATTTGGAAGCAGCAATGCAGAATGATAACTAATCTTGAAACTCTCAATCAATCAAATGTAGAATCTCATTCACTTTTACCATGTGCGTTTTTGCGGAGAAAAGTTTTTGCTTAAGATAACTAAAGAAAAAAAAGTCGAACAAACTAAAATTAGGAGATTTGGTATGAATGTCTTTGTTTTTTAAAGTTTTTATAAAGGATGGCTTTAAGATACAGTTATGGTATAGTTTTCATTAATCTTTGTTTTAGAATGCATTTTGATGAGTGGTATGACACTGTGTCCACTGATTATTCTAACATAGGCCAACTTTCAGTGCAATATTTCAACTAACTTTTAAGTGGTGGTTTGTCAAGTTTTAATATAACAAATTTCCTTTTGCCGTTGCAGTAACTTAGTTACAGCTATGGCTCATCCAACATGATGAGATATTGTCATCGAGAGCTACAAGATATTTTCATGTAACTTTCTGCAATTAGTTTTTTGGTTTTCTCGAGACGTTTTTGATCAGTTTACCTGTTTGTCGTGTTATCAAAACAAGATATTGGTGAATAACTTATTTGGTGATACATTGTGAAATGTTGAGCTTGCTTGCAATCATTCTCTTAGTCAATAGATTATTTTTTGCTATTGCTTTGGTTACCAATTTGATCAAGTGCTCGGTGCTCTGCTGGATCTTTCTCACTTCCCCCTCTCTTCACCTTTTCACAAACTGCCCTAATTAGTCTTATTTTACGTTTGCAATGCAGCATATTTTAGATTTAATTGTTGGAAACTATATAAACATTTTTTTTTTTTGTCTTGTAGCCAAAACCTTTTTTGGAAAATGATTTTATTATAATTTCGGCTTCAAGCTGGATAACTTTTTCAGCATTTTTAACTTGAATGTAAAAAAGAACAATAAATAGAATAGAAAAAGATGATGATGATAAAAGTATGTGCTCATTCTGCGACATTTAATTATTATTTATGAAATTAATTAAACATAGATTATTATTATTATTATATTATATATGTATATTTTGTCTTTGACACTTTGACAAGCAACTTTTTAAATTTAATGTTGAATTTTTAACTTTGCAAATTTTCTAAAATATTTGAATCATGAACACAATTATGTTATCAATAAGAAATTATGTATTGATTAAAAAATAATAATAAGCATTAAGTAAAATAAATTATTTTATATATACAGGGTTCCTATATATCTGGAAAAGTTAGAGATTTTCATTAGTGTTTAGAAAAAGTCATGGAATGTCAAAGAATTTGCCTCCTTGGCTGACTCGTTGATATTTTTGCTGACGATATACTTGACTAAGCATAGCGATCCGCAGGCAGCAATTAGTAATGTGGTTCAATACAGCATATGCAAAGGGGTACAGAATGTTTTCAGGATCCAAAATTTCTTTTAAGTTTACAAAAAGATTTTTCCAAAAATTTACAAAGTACGCAAAATGATAAATAGTTTAAATGGTATTATTTCTCATTTTAATAATTTTGATTGCATAACAAAACAATTTTTGATTTTTTTCCAGTTTATTAATATTTTACAAAGTTCAGGAAATTTATTAAAGGATAAATTTAATAAATATATACGTTTGTACATGGATTATATAGAATTTGTTAACGAATAATAAAAAATAATTGATTTTTTTTTTCAAAGCCATTTTAATAATTCAACAGTTATAAAAAAATATATAACTGTTAATTAGAAAAAATAATTAACTAAAATGTCGGAGAAGCAAAACATGTGCGCTTGGTAAGTCAAATGCTGTTTTATTTTGTCAATGTGTCATACTGTAAGGGACGTGAGGGTCGGGGAATTTGTACAAAGTTGTCCAGGGAAAGTTACGGAAATTAAAACAAAAATTTGAGTAGGAACCCTGTGTATAATAGCCAAATTAATATTTTAAGTGAATTGAATGAATTATTGATTTATAATGTTAATAAAGAAAATTAAATTATTAACAACATTTATTTTTTTACGCAGTTAAAAATAATAATTGGTCTGATCATTGTTGCAATATTGCTCATCATCATAAGTAAGTAATTTAATAATTAAATTATTATTCGTAATTATATTCGAATTCTTGTTTTTTCGTTTAAGACTGATATATTTTGTTGATTTTATGTAATAAATGTATATAAATATCTTATTTACAATGAATTATTTTGTAAATCGATTTTAAATTACAGTAAGTTCCGAATTTCAAATTGTTGCTCGGGTAACAAATAGAATGTAATGTTTGATTAATTTTAAGTTGGTTTAATTCCTACTTTATTAGTTACATATAAAAAAAAATATTAGGTAATAATCTCAATTATTATATCATATTGGATTAATGTATGAAATTTGATTATACATTATTTCTATACATATATTTCTACTTTCCTGGCTGTTATAAAAGAGGGGAAAGTATGGTGATTTGGCAAAAAATGACCCGCCCCAGATTTTTACATTTTTAGACTCAGGACATCTTGAAACACCAAAAAATGAAAAAAATTTCGAGTAATTTCTGTATGTATGTATGTATGTTAGTGTGTGTGTGGGGGAGGCACAATTATGTCCACCCTGTTTGAAGCTTAATAATTCCTGTGCTTTTTGTCGAAAATTTGTGAAATTTTGCAGGGAGGTTTGTTTATTAGGGGGATTGATGCTATTAAATGGAAAATAAAAAAGGTGGTTAAAGGCTGACGCGGTGGGGAGATAACGGAGGTCGCGTGTATCTCCACTAGGGTTGATCTTAATGACGATTTTACTCGTTAGCATTTACAATTTTTTTTATAAAACTCATCTCTATCCTGAAAATTAAGCTTTCTGCCATTTTACAATAGTTAAAAATATAAAAAGTTTTCTTAATAAAATATTAAAATAGATGACACCATCAGAATTTTAAATGTTACCTGGGACAGTTGAGTAATTGGTGCTGGTTTATTTGTTTTATGGTATACACTTTTCTCATTTCAATCTTTTGATATTTCTGATATTTCCATGTAACTCTTCTTTATATGAGATGCTGTGAATTAAGAGGTAGTAAGAACACTATCATGTAAACTAATAGCTGTTAAAATTAGATAATTTGATTAATTATTTATTAATATATTTTAAGAATAATTAAAAATGGAATGTTTTGTTATATTAACACATTAATTGGTGTTTGCATAAGTTTTTGAGATATCAGAAATTGATAATATGTTACCAGAAAATGAAAGAAAATTGAAGCGAAATGACATGATATATGACTATAGAAATGGTAAAATTGAAAAGTTAACAGATTATTAATGTATTGTAATAGCTAAAAGTATAATGATGTAAAAGGAATGTTAGAATTGGTTTAAAGGAAAGACGTATTGAGAAAAATAAAGCCAGAAAAGGTTTCTATTGCCCACGCTTGCAAAATTACTACAATCTTGCAAACATAGGCGATAGAGAAGTTTAAAGAAAAAGTGAAGAACATACAAATTTCCTAATTAGTTAACCAGAGAGTATTATATTAAGAATAGCTAGACAAACATTATTAAGAATTTCTCTATAAATTGTGGAATGGCCTTACTAGTGATCTGGGGGTTAAGAGTACCCCAGGGAAAGAGGATCTGGGGTGAACCTTCAGAAAAGTTTTGAAATGTAATATAATACTTTATTACACTACCATATTGTGTGACTGGTCTTTTTTATCTTTGGATCCATCTTGTTATACGGGGAGCAATAATCACTACTTCAAATGGACTTTACTTACTATATCCAGAAATAAGTAAATTAATATAACACTATTAAATAATAATAATATACAGTACGTACTAAACAGTACAAACATATTCAACATTTAAACGTTAAAAATTAGCTATATATTTATGTAAAAAATGTAAATAATCAAACAGAAGTTTGTCATTTGAAACAATGGACTGGAATGGGGTGGGGTGGCTCAAAATTTTCTAGAGTTGGCTGAACCACTTCAGATCCCCTCTATGTCCCAGTATTACAATATAACAATTTACATTATAATACTCTGGTTAATTAACTGCCTCAGTACAATATGCTTTGGTTAATACACACAATATGAAATAATAATGTAAAAATAAGACTTACGGAAATTGTGTGCTTCAGAATTGTAAATTTGTATTGTTTTATTTAAATATAATTAATTTAGAAGTAAAGTAATTTAATAGATAAATTTCAACAGTCTCTGATGTTGCTATAGTAATAGAAATACAACAGAATGTTTGAAATTCTGATCTAGAATTAATTTGATTTAATCCGATAAGTCATATAATCTTGAAAATGTATTGAAAAAACTTAATCTTTTTTTCAAAATTAGTTTGCTTATAAATGGATATAGATTATAAAGTTCATTATTTGGATACAATGATATTACCATCACTTCAAAATTTGCTGTAATAATTATAAACAATGACTAAATACAGTAGCATCCCATACAACGCGGGGGATTCGTTACGCATTATAGGTAATCGCATCATCGAAACCTGCATTATCACACGATTTATGAAAGTTTAAACCTTGGCCTATAAGTTGAAGAAAAAAAGTATACCTCTAATCAACAAAATTCAAGGGTGTTGCTTGCTTTATTTGCGCATGGTACGGGAATCTACTGTAGTTGTAATTCATTAATTCATGTTAATAATAAAATAAATTTTCGGACTTATGAATTCAATACTTTTAAAAGGTATTTATATTTAATTTATTTGATCAGAGTCGTAACCGGATTCACTGAAGCATATTGGAATTATCTATTATAATAATGATTGTTAAAAATGTATGTGATATTCTTTAATAATATATCTTTTGTTATTTACAGCATATCGGTCATTGTTAATCATGTTAGACTTTCTTACAACTTATTAACAAATAAGTACAGACAATAGAACCGAATAATTCAACAGTATCATAGTTAACGTCTTGCTTTTTCTTCTATTACCTAAGAATGCATTTGCAGGAGATAAACTATGATTGTTTATGATGCTTTCGTTTGAAGTAGATATATTTGCAAACTTATTAATTTATCGCTTTTTAATTTTGAAATCTCGGTTTCTGTTTAAGTTTGTATTCGGCAGTTTGTTTTTCGTTTTACTCCGAATTGGTCTTTTTATAGTTTATCTTGCATTTGTTGGTATGTGGTCGATGGACACTTGTTGCAGAATCTCTGCCTTAAAACTGATTGAGATTAAATGTTTTTTGAGCCTTTTTGCTCCAGTTGAGATGGAATAAACAGTATATCTTTAACAAAGAATTAGAGTGGGTGTTGTGTTCAATAAAAATCCAGAATTTGAGTGTGTGACCATCTAGTTTTGAATAAAATATATAAGTTATCATCCTCTATATATATTATTATTTTAATTATTCATTTTTCTTTCATTTCTCTGTTTAGAAGTTTTGAATACTATAACATTATACTGTGAAAATATAGCTTTTCAGTAGTATTCGTGGCATTTAAATGGCTTTAAAATCATTCCTGTTGTATCTGTAACTTAAACATTCCTTAAATTAATTATTTAATAATAGAGTACTCGGTTTAGAAAATTTGCAGTTTAGTTTAAAGATAACTTTAAATTGATTTTACTTAAATAAATAAATATATATTACATGAAATATATATATATTTAACGAATAACTTTAAAAATCATTTTACGTAAATAGATAAATAAAGTTATTCGTTAATATATATATATATATTATTTACTTTAAAAGTTGACATTATTCAGTTAGAAATATTATTTACCATTTAAATATTTATATTTTATTGTTTGGGTCAGTTAAATAATTTAATGCAAGAAAAGCCAGTGGCAAATGCAAAATATACAAAGGAAACTTGTTACATAACAAAGTGATTTCTCGAAGGATTATTACAATAAGTATTTATTCATTCTAACATTAAAATTATAATTTTAATTACTAAATTTCTTCTCTTTCACTTGAAGAAATACATAAAATTTGAGTTACATGTAAATGATTTTGTCAATGATGTAAATCAAGTGTTGAGTAGTCATGAATTTTTAGAAATTTTATCAAAATTACTACACCACCGTCGATTGATTATAAGAGAAAAATGGCTTATAAATGAAGTGTATTGTATGCAAGGCCCTCGAGGACTTGTATGAAATCCTTCTGCTCTTTTATGGCCTTCCCATTATTTTTGAACAAATGAAATTACTAGAACATTTTAAACTTTCTATCTAGTTTCATTTGTTTATACACAATAATTGAGTGTACCAGTATAATGTGAAAACATAGCATACATAATTTTACCGAGTTTAGCCGCTTCAACATTAATTTATAGGTGTAGGAATCCCATACAGGCCTCTTAATTCTTCTCCAGGACAAGGGTAATTCCCTAGTTTCCTCCCTTTCGGCCGCCCTGATTGTATGTTATAGTCATACTATTTAAAAAAAAAGAAATGCAGTTATAAAATGATTTTATGCTCAAATTTTTAAATATTTTTCAGTTCCGATCATCATAAAAAACCGGTAGAAAGGATGAAGAATTCCGACTGTGAAGATTTGCAAAGGAGAAAGTTCGCTGGAAAATATGCAATTGAATGCAGAGGAAAATATATCAAATCATTCGAATGTACACACACACAAAAAAAATATGGTTTTATATTTTATAACCATTTTTTATTCTTAAAACAAAATCACACTATCAATATTTTTATTACTTGTAACTTAAATAATTCATTAACGAAGACAAAATGGGGGAAGAAATCAATGAACTTCAGCAGAGGAGAATGTAAATTATTTAAATATATATATATTATATATTATTTATTAGCTTAATTTTCTGCATAAAAATAAAATAAAAAATGTTATTTTGTAATGTTTGCAGAATATGTAATTAAAATATTTATAATTATTGTTTTTATTAATATATTTTTCCGTTTACGAATTGAAAAAAAAGTATACTTTTAATAAAGAATTAGAGAATGTATTATTAAAAAAAAGAAATCCATAGTCTGTTCGCGTGTCTGACCGTCTTTAGATTCGTATTTCCCTAGTTAAAACGTGGCCTTTTTCTCGACAAATTCATTGTGGTAGACATTTCCTACTGTAAATAAGATAAATAAATAAATAAATTGCGCTTTTATACTAGTAAAATATCGAGAAATTTATGTTAAAATCGTTTAGCTAATCAAAATAAAGTTTGAGAAATATTTATATTGACGAAATACACAAGTAACACGTCCGGAAGTGTGTTGTGTATTTTGTCAAGATTTACGTCACAAGGCAAATTGTTGCTGACGTTACAAAGAAACGGAAGTGACACTGACAAAATAAATTCACGAATTTTGAATAAATTGAAACAAAATTTCAATATTTTTTTTTTTTAGTCATTCGCCGAATATTGAAATGGATTACAACGTGGCTTCTGTATTACGCCATGTTTTTTTTTTTTTGGATTGAGACACAAAATGGCGGATAGAAAGCCAATTTTTTAATGGAAAATTCAAAAGAACTTACACGAAATAAAGAAGAAAAATCATACGAAGTTTCTAAATAATTTCATGAAAAATTTGATTATAGGAAGTCATTTTGTTTTTGAAATTTCAAAAAGGTTTAACAAGATTTGTTTTATGGCTTTAATAATGTTTTTAACGACTTCTATGTTAAGTTAGGAAATTCGAGTTTTATCTCTGTGTTGTGAATGACGAACAGACACATAACGTACGTTTTCATGACTATCGTAACCCAACGAATCGTGTGACCTGTTGACAACATAAAACGTCTTCAATAAACGGTTCACACTTAATGATACAATTTATGTTGTTATTGTAAAAAAAGAAGATAAGCAATACGATTATGTTTTATTATTCGTTTTTTATTACCGTTTAATTATTCGAATTTTATTTAATAAAGTTGCAAGCGACGCCCGTACATGTTGTAATTCTCCGACGTGATGGAAGAAGTGTCCAATGTTGATGGAGATATTAAACCAAGTTTTATGACACTTTGTCCACCAGAACGAAGATAACAATGGCCGGATATACACACGACATTTTGTTAGAGATTCTCACATAAAAAAAAGATATTTGATTCTTCAATTCTGATACTACTACTTCTTAACGTTCTGAAACGTTTACTGAATCATCGATCCTTTAAGTATCTTGTTGAGTATGCCCAACGTGTTAATTCGTTTGTTTATATAATATATTAAGCACTAAATGCTCTATTAATATATGCAACACGTTAGACATTGCCGAAACTTGTGAATATATGCAGCGTGTTTATGAAATTAATCAATGGCTTTTTAAATGTACGAAACACGTAAATTACTGTAGATTTTAAAGTAAATTACGCTGAAAACAATACACCATAATAAGACACTGAAGACGAGATGCAAATTACTGAAACCTCTGGATGTACGAAGCGTAAATTAAAGTCTCTCTGAATGTATGCAACACGTAAATTACTGTAGATTTTGAACTATGCAACAAGTAAGTTATTAAGACTGGATGAACCTGTTTGAATACAGTCGACCCCCTTATAACATTGTTGATAATTCCGTTTTATACGAATTCCATGTTGTACGAGTCACTTAGATTTTACAAATACGTGTGCCTGACTGTGAACGGCTCGCATATTTGTAAACTCTAAGTGACTCGTACAACATGGAATTCATATAAAACGGAATTATCAACAGTGTTATAGGGGGTCGACTGTATATGAAGCATATAAAGTACCAAAGGGTTTTTTTGAATGTATGCAACACGTAAATTACTAGATTATACTGAATATTGCTCCATGCTCACGTTCAGAGTGGGGTAGAGAATAGTCATGCAAAATAAAAAAATTAATTAAAAACTTTGCACAGAAGAAAAATCCCATATTCTTTCACGGTTTTAAATTCGAAAATGTGTAAATTTTATTTTAAAAAATTAATTTGAATTTGCAAACATTAAAATACTCTAAATTATACGAAGGGGGGGGAGAGAGAGAGGGAGGAAATACAATTCTTTATAAAAACTGCACCAATAAAATACTATTCTATCACATTTAATATCATTTTATTGCTCCCTTTTGGATTCTTCTTTTAAATTCTGCCGAGATGTAAAATGTAAAGAATGTAATTCGTACAATATAAAAGGGGCACGCAAGATGATCAATAAAAACTCTTAAAATTTCCCAATTTCTTATAACATTTTATTAGCTTTATAAACTAAAGATAGAGAAAAGGATCTAATTTCTGTAACCTTCTTCTAATTTAAATACGGGAAGCCATTTTGGTTTATTGTCTATATAAATCTCCCATTATTTTCTTCTTTCTATAACTTTTTTTTAATAATATAAAGCCCAAAAATCGGTTAACCGTGCTTTAAAACAGTTAATAATAGTGGAATAATGACCTTTATATAGAAGAATACAAAAGTAAATATATTATTTTAATTATTTCCTTTATATTCTTTTGTATTTTCTTTGATGCTTTATATTCTTTTGTATTTTCTTTAAAGAGTCAGAAGAAAGTAAAAAAAAAGGAAATAAGAATTGTTATCTTTGTTACCACACACTAAAGAAACAATAAACAGAGTTAAATTTGCTAGCTTTTCACCTTTCTATTGACATCAAACAGCAAATAAAACTAGAACAGATAATACACTGAACACTTTCCCAACCTCCTTACTATTCGTTCTTTCTCTAATGTATTAGAATATCAATTAGTAGTACGAGATCTACCAGTTGGTGGATAAAAACGTATAAATTCTCTTCCCTTCATTTTTTTTTAATAAAAAAAGATAATTTTGTTAATTGTAAAATAATAAATTAGAAATATTTAAATTGTATTTTCCTATATATTAAAATCTCGACTTTATTTATTGCTTTAATTTATATTGATAATTATAAATTTATCCTTATTAGATAGATATTTTAATGAAATTAATAAAGAGTTTTTCTTTACCTTGTGTTTTAATTTAAAGGATTTTATTGAAACGAAAAGATAAATTACCATTTACGATTATTTCTACTGAAAAAAAAAGCAATTTTAATATTAAAAATTTCAACGAGAAGTAGATATTAAAAGTCATCCATCTTCGAAAATTGCTCGCTTCTTACGTTTCGAATTGATTAAATGTAACAAAAATACAAAATTCTGACACTTTTAAACACTCGAAAAATAAATCTAATAAAAGACAAATTTAATTATATTTAATTTCTTAATTATAATAATTATCATTTCTTAAATTCCTCCACTTATAAAACACCAGCCATTCAACCTATTTACTTTGCCCACATTTTTCTTATGTACTAGTGGATCGTGAACTACAGGTTGGATTATATAAATGTAAGCTTTTAATATATATATATATATATATACTGCTTTTGTGTCCTACCTAATTCTCAATATCCATCTCTATTTTCTTATATTACAGTTTATCGTTATCGATCAGTCTATAACATGAAACAACTTTATAAAACATCTGGATAAAGAAGAGGAATTTTTTTTTCTTCCTTACTTTATTCACATTTCTCTATCACATAAACTGCTATCACTTCAACTATTTATTATTATTTTTTTAATATTATTTTCTTCTCTTATTGAACATCCACTTTCTTGGTATTCTATTTCCAATATCTACTTTTATTCTATGAGAAAATGGGTACAGATTTGGGTGCGAATAGAACCCAAATTTGTTGAAATTAAAGCACTATATTATTATAATTAACATTCTGTGCCCTTGCATTTTCAATATAATTGAAGGTACAGTCGACCACCCCCCCCTATAACACTGTTGATTATTCCGTTTTATACGAATTCCATGTTGTACGAGTCACTTAGATTTTACAAATATGTGAGCCGTTCACAGCCCGGCACATGGTATTTGTAAAATCTAAGTGACTCGTACAACATGGAATTCGTATTAAACGGAATATTCAACAGTGTTATAGGGGGGTCGACTGGTATGGCATTATTATAAACAACGATATGTATATCAGGAATTGTATAATTATTTTTATATTGATGCTATTGATTGTTTGTATTTATTGATGCTTTAACTCACACAACATTTATGATTTTTTGTCGTGTAGTTTAGTATTAATCACGTGTTTTTTTAGAACAGAATCTTCGAGTGTTATCAATAAAGTACGTGTTCTTGTGAAGGAAATCGTTCTATACACGAAACTCTTCCATCAATTTTGCTTTTCTTAATATAAATTTCTTCCTTTCTTTTATTATTATTTTTTGTTATAAATCTAAAAGAAGCAACACATTTTATACGCAGGGTTAACTGACTTTAGGGCCACCCTAAATATATATATATATATATATTTTAAATAATAATTTATATATTGATACAATGAATGGATATTATTTAACTTTCGCCACAGTAATTCTTCATTTGCCATTATCGATCTTTAATTATGTCTCGAGTACATCTAAGACATTAAAGTTCGTTTTACATAAATCTTTAAATCTTTTCATGACGTTGATGATAATAGACGTTTGAACAAACCATCATTTTCTTTACTTAATGAGAAAATTCATTATTAATTCCAAGCAAATAATATGATTGATTTACGCCGTAATTATTCATTACTGCTAAATTTTTGATGATAAATAAGAAGATTATCATCGTCGTTCTTATCATCTTTAGTAAACAATTTTCACCTCCCTTTTTTTTTTTTTAAATGGATAATTTAATTAACGTATGTTCAACAGGTGTGCAACAGACTGACAGATAAGACACGCTCCTTTTTTTTTACTATTTACCAATATAAATATATAATATACATTAAGAAAAATCAATTATCAGTGGCAGTTTTAGGTATAAACAATGCAAGAGGCCTCAAACACGTGGTCTTTAGTATGGATCATGTTGTGTGACGTAGCCTTTATGTAATATAT